ATTTTGGCACTCATTATAAATGCCTTAAATGATACAAAATTTGGGCATTTAAGTATATTATTTCAAGACAAATAGAAGAAACAACAATCTTTAACCCCAAATCGTGGGGACAATCAATAACCTCGTTAAGTCAATAGGTAGAAGTAAACAAATAATTCATCAGCCATCAAGATTAGTCAAAATAAAAAACGAACAAGGTGTTGACATATAATTAGATTCACTATCAATGTTCTTTAATATTGTCTTTGACAATGACATTAATTTAAGTTAACCTCAACATGATTTAATATATTAAATTAGAAATTTGAGCATGAAAAATCTTATTCATAAATACTTAAAATTTATGTTACAATTAATAAGATCAAAATAATACGAAAGAAATAGAACGATACAATATAACTCACTCGCATGGATTCAGATGCAAGCGAAGCCTCATGCACAAGCCCCATGCACAAGCCCCAACTTGTGAGGCGAAGGGGAGTTAGTGACTAGAATCAAAACATAGGAGAAGGGAGGAAAGGGATTCAATGGTTGTAGGGGGAGGCAGGCAAGACAAGACAATGTCCTAATCCTTCGGTCTCCAATATGTATAAGAAGTGAAGGCAGTTTGGTAGCTAGTAAGTGCTGGTGGGATTTGAGTAAATTGGGAAGGAGTTCCGAGAATCGCTTGATCAAGAAGACTAACATGACAAAAAAATCATGGAAAAGTAAAAAAAAAAAAAACAGTTTCAAACAAAGGCTACATCGAAAAATAAAAAGGAAGGAAATGCGCTGAAGTCCGATTATAAAAGACAATAAACAAAATAGGAAAGAAAATCGTGTGATTCCCGTGATCCAAAGGCAAGGTGGTGTGGCTTTGGCATGGATTTAGCAGATGAAATTTCAGTGCTTGTAGGAAGGACGGTGGGTGCTAATTGGGAGGGACCGCAGGCTGCAACAGAGGCGGCGACGGGCTATCTGTGATTGACACAAAGCGGTGTATAAGGAATTCACTCAAATGTATTGAAAATGAACTAGATAATGAAATCCAAATACCTTGTAATTTTGGACTGTTTTTCAAACGTTGAAAATTTTAAAACTCTTGTAAAAGGAATGTAGCGTGCTCTTTTTCGTAGCAAATCAAATAGTCACTTAGCATTTCCTAACTCACTGAATTTTATTGTCTTCTAGTCACACATATTTGACAACTTGAATTTTTTAGTTAGTTTTGACTTTCACAAAACTTCAATGTCTCTAATTTTGAACCATTTTCCTATTTTCGGTGAAAATGAAGATTATATTTTTCTTTTATTTTAAACATATTTAACATGAATGAAGGTCCCAAAGTAATATAATATGTTTGTTTTGGTGACCAACAATAGTTGTATTGGGGTGACATGTTTTCTTTTGATTGGGAGATGCTGGTCCTTTTTTGGTCTGAGATGACAATTATTTTTTTGAATCTTACCTGAAATCAACACAAATTCTTTTTTTTAGGTTTAAACCCATTTAAGACTTGAAATGATAACAATTTGTTTTCTTTTATTATAAACCCATTTAACATGAATTAATGTCTCAAATTAATATAATTGGTTTGTTTAGGGTGACCCTTCAATACTTTTATGGGGTTGACATGTCTTGATCTCTTGATTAGGACATGCTAGCCCATTTTGGTCTAAGAGGAAAATTATTTTTTTGAATCTCACCTGAAATCAAAACAAAGAATTCCCTTTTTTTCTGAGGGCTTGAAACATTTGAAATCTTCAGTTCTAGTAGTTCTCAAGTCTTGAATTTCATCATAATTAGGCAAACTTTGCCATCTAAACTTAATAAGATTTTATGGCCGATAACATTTTCAAATAGTGTTTGATGATGTTGCATGTCTATTAGCATTTGATAAAAGTGAGATAAATAAACTTGTAAAATGCTGAAGGAGGAAGCGTTAATATTACCGGAGCAGCCAAACTTTATTTGAATTAACATTGGCTTATAGATATCTTATTTGTTTGTGTCGCGTACCCCTACTTGTTGGTTGACATCTGAGAGTCAGTTGTAAGTCTTCTAAGGTCGGGGGTTCGAATCCCCTTTGGCGACGTTCACTGAATGGAGGGTGGTACTAGAATTGCTAACCGCATTAGGCGTGGTTGGAGGCTCGTATAATAGCCCCTGACCATTCCTTTAAAAAGTAATAATAATAAATAGATATTTTATTTGTTTGGATTTAATAAATATACAATTTTTTTTAACATAAAAAACATTTCATTAGGCTGTAAAACTGCTAAAATAATTAACTCTAATATATAACTTATTTTATATTTGTTCTAAAATGATGCATGCATTATTTTACATTTATATCACCTAAATCTTTAGTATCACATAAAAAATACGATAACTTTTAAAAAGTGAAATACAAATTTTCATTCATAGGTAAGGCGGTATGACCTAAAAATTCAACTTTAGGTGTTTGTTATGTATGTACAAAGAAATGAGTGGTATGTATGTAAATATTTCTGATTGACTTATATATTGTAATATATGATAAACAACGTAGAAAAATAAAATCATACTTAACACAAAAAGTACATCGGCTGGAAACATATTATTGTATGAACCAGCCATAATTTACCCCGCCACCCAAAAAATAAAATAAAAATAAAAAATTATCGCCAAATTTGTGAGTAGTAATCTCTTGAAGTGAGCTTTCATCATACTATTCTCACCCTTCACATAATTCTGCGTTTTCTCACATGGAGGAGTCCTCGTCATCTACTCAGCAACACTTTCTCATTCAATTAATGCATTGTTCCTTGTCTTCTACTTCTCATGCGGCAGTGGGTTCCAGCCACATGCATTATCAATTATCATACACTAGCTTGCTTTCAAGTCAACAAAAGAGGCGTACAAGTTTGGAAACCTAGAGGAGATGAATTAAAAGGAGATTGCAGTTGGACTATATAGAGTTATGTTCAAGATATATCCTCAACAAAGACAAAAGTTATCATCTTCTAATCTTAATCAGCAATCAGCAAAAGAGACATAAAAATTTTGGGATTATATGTAAGAGGATAAGAAAGTGTTTGTTAGAGAATAATTCAAAGTGGATTGAAGTTGGGCTAAATATATCAATAGTCAATTAATTGTCAACCCAAAAATTTAAAGATAATGATCTAGTGAGGACAAATCATTTAATATTTTTATAATAATATGTTTTTCAACCACCTAATATGTGGCTAGATCGAATACCCATACATAGGGGTGTAAACGAGCCAAACACAAGTGAGCCCAGACTCAGCTCGTGTTTTGCTCGTTTATATTTCGAGCTCAAAAAGTGTGTTCGTGTTCAGCTTGTTTGCTTAGTAAGTCTAACATGAGCTGTTTACGAACAAAGAATCGTTTTGATAACCCTAATCACGTAGCAATAGATGTTAAGGTATTGGGGCAAGATTTAAAACATCATTTGAATCTAATTTAATAAATTTTATTTTCTTCATTAATACTTTTAAATGATTATAAATCTTTGTAGCTTTTAGATGTTAAATTGATAAATATATAAGAGCTCTTTGGCATCTCTTTGGCATCTCTATATATATATATATATATATTTATGAAATTGACTATTAGTATTTCGAGCCAAAACGAGATGAACACGAACGAACAAATTTTTTATCATGCTCGGCTCATTAACTTAGCGAACACGAGCCCGTTTTGATAGCCCTACCCACATATAACAAATTTTTTGATAAGTGAGAAGTGAGAATTTTCCACATCAAATTATCAATCTTTCTCAAATAGAAGCTGATCATTAAGTATCGAGTATCATGTACTAATACGCTCACTCAATCACGCTGTGATTATTGCTCTGAAGTTTATTTCGCCCTTGGGAACCACAAATCACGTGAATAACTTCATACTAACTGGGTTGTGGTTTTCCACACCTCTTGTTAGCGGAAAGCGCACAAATGGGAGACTAATGTTGGGCTATATATTTTTCATTAAACTTAATTTCTATCCAAAAGAACAAAGCGTATTAGTGAGAGAGAAATATTTGATATTTGTGCGTTAATGTATTTTTCAAGAATTAAATGAGGTTAAAATCAATACTCACTTGAATAACAAAGTGGATAAGGAATCGATATAGTATTATGAATTCTCTTTTATCCAATCACAGTCATTTGAAGAAATTAGTTCCATTGGAGAACTTCTTAGTAGGTGAGAGAATTAGTGTACGTGATGATTGGAATGTGCATTTCACCAGTGGGTTTTGAAAGCTGCGTTGAATTTGAGTAGGTAGTTGCGTGACAACTTTAAATATCGAACCTTTTTTCTTAACATTTTGCTCCTTTTTAAAGTGTAAACTTCACAAAATTATTGAAACAATCTGCTTCTTCCTGCCATGGTCTTATCACCAAGAGAACTGCCTTTCAAGTGCAAAATCAACTGTCAGATGCCGTGATGAATTCATATACTATCATATAATTTTGACGAAGACCTCTAACAATAATTGACTTGAGGGAATTCATTTGCCCAGCCAGAAAAATTCAGCTGGAATATTTTTATTTTGCCAAAATAGATAGCAGATGTTCTCTCTGACAGAAAAATTCAGCTGCTATCCTTATTTGATCTCTACCGATTCAAGAGATAGAATTGGTACCATTGCAACCAGAAGCCTACCTTTGGTACATCTAATGTGAAAGTGATTAAGCTTGCTAGAGCAGATCCAAATTAGCATCTGACAAAAAATGAAGAAAATGACTGAATATACATAAGAAAAAAAAGTTAAACTTTTGTTTTTTCTTTAGATACAGTTGTTGCAAACTTTTCTGCTAATTTTTCTTTTTTTGGTATTAATGATTTCTAAATCAAGCTGTTGAGATTACATCCAAGTCTAATTCAACTTCATTAGATAAATAATCAATTATGGCCAAGCAATATACAATTTACAAGTCTTATTTCATTATTATCCAAAAGGCCTCGGAATTTATTTTGTTTTTATCATTCTGTTCTTTCATATTTCAGGAAATATGATCTGATATTTATCTACAGAGTTCTAATAACTGCACCAATGCATGCATATGAGAAGCGGTAAGGCTGACTCTAATTAGATTTTGAATAAATGTGATTTATAGAAATTGTTTCTCCGCAACGCAAGAGATGAAATTTGAATGTTATTTATTACAGAGACTTCTATCATTACCTAGCTTTGGGAAGAACATAATGTGATTGTTTGGCTGGTTGAAAATGCTACAAATGAGAAGGAGAATACCGAAGCTTCTTTGGACCACAACTGTTCTTTGAGTTCCGGTGAGTTAAGACTTCTAATTTTCTGATCTTTTCAATGCCACATTTTTCTAAATAACTGTGTTTAAAGCTAAAAATCTTTATTGAATAAAAAACTGAAGGGAAAATGCTTTGGTTAGAAACATAGCAGTGCACCAGACAAAGAATAAGCCACCTTATTTATGATAATCTGCCTGTTAGAAACGTTGGACTTTTTTCTCGGAATGATTTGCACATAGGCTTCTGAATTTGAAGCTCATTTATTGATTTATGGTAATTCTTTTTTAGGGCAGTTGAGCGTTATATTTTATTAGGTCATTTTCTTCTTTTATTCCTTCTCTGTAAAATTTATGTTGAGTTTTGTTATTTTAGAGATCATTTTTTGAAAAAGCGAATTGTTGAAGTATGCGGACGGAACTGCTGACATAATTGGCATATGACAATCCGAACACTATTTGGCCATGTAGTTCTTCTTATTCAATGTGGGACCATGTGAGTCTTCGAAAAGAAGAAGGGACCAGAAGAGACTACGGTAGGAAATGACTTCATTTCTTACAATACACTATCTTGTCTTATACTGGCATTAATTAGGTAGAAAAAGAGAAAAAGTGAAAGTAAAATACAATGAGAAGTTCATGTAAGAGTACTCCAAGGAAATTCAAAACCGGGCGAACCGTATGCGATTTTAAATGGACGGTGGAGATGAATTTCTTAGTTTAAAATCTTAACTTTTGAATGCTCCACCTCAAATATGCCGCATGCATCATTAACAGCCATTTTAGATAATTATTTAGACAGGGAGCCAACTAGCGATAATTTTATGAACATGTTGACAACTTGTAATTTCAATTGGATGGGCGTCAGCTTAGTGATTATATAAGCAACATATTTCCTGATAAAATTGTAATCAATGTCTATGTTTAGAAAGCCTTCATAAATGTAGGATTTGTAAGCATTGTAAATTTACTTCCGCTAATCCCACGCTGAACTCTTTCAACGCCTTCCTGATCAAGCTCCAATAATCATGCAGGATTTCTTCTTTTCATTTTTACTTTTTCCCGTAATTCTTTTACCGTGCCATGCTTTCGCTTGCTGTCGCTTTCCCGATTTGGGAGATCATATCAACTTTCTTTCATTTTCTCCTTCTCACGCGTAGCACTTACTTTCCTCCGCCTATGCTTCCAGTTATTGAGCGGAAGAGTTAGAGCAACATATTTGACTTTCTCGCATCCTACTGCAGCCATCGAATCTCCCCTTATGTAATAATTGATTTTTCATAATAATAATAATAATAAAGATGATGATGATGATGATGATGATGGCAATGATAATAATAATAATATATTAGGTATCTCTTAGAGGAGTCGCATCCCCTCTGAGGAATCATAACGCATGCTCCATCCACACTTCCCTCATTAGAAACAGAAGAGCGAACTAGAGGGAGAGAGATTGAGAGAAGGAAATCTCCATCAAGCCCGATCAATCGAGGAGGAAGGAAGAAGGTCATGGGGCTTCGACGTTGTATTCTAGCATGTCGAACCTTAGCTGAAGGAGTCGAAGAAGAAGTCGAAGAAGAAGTCGAAGAAGATTGTGTGGCTTTTAACCTACCTTGCGAATCTCATTGCTCATGATAGACCTTGAGTGGTTGAGAAGGGAGGTCGTGCAACTCGCGTGCAGAGGAGGAGGAAAGGACTTTGTTCTTACGTGTGATAGGATTCAAAACTCATGTGTGGAGTAAGAGGAAAAAGAAGATCACAAGTTGATCCGTTGGGTTGCGTAATGACCGAAGCAGTGGAGGAAGGAGAGTATAATCTCGTGCATGCGTTAGTGCAATCGACCGATCGAGGTTATAAAGGTAAGTGTCTGTGTGTGTGTGAGTAGGTGTTCCTAAAAAGCTTACTTGAATCGGGAATTAAAGGTTTGATAGATTCTTGAGATTTGAGAAAGAGGTGGATCAAGACACACAAAGAAGGATATAGTAAAGATTTATAAACTTTATGCATTATATAAATTGGCTTAATTAAAGGTGATGCTAATTTCATATCAACAATTTCATGAATTAATTTAGTGATTTATATTTATCAAACTGTTGAATTAAAACGAAGATAGAGAACTCAAAGTGCTAAGGGAAGTGAAGTGAAGAGATAAGTATTTTAGAGGTCTTTGAAAATAGAGGAATAATTATTTTCTTATGCATTAAATTAATAATTTATTAAATGGTTTACAACAAATATTTTCTTTATGCTTGCATTTTGAAAGTTTGAAACATGTATTACAAATGAGAGAAAAATAAAGAGCATATGAAGGTACATTGTAAAGGATTTTAAATTGATATAAAATGATAAGTAAATGATTATGTCATTCAGGATTATCCTAGATGATACTGACAGGAGATGCAATGTAATTGTGCACGATAAAGAAAATACGTAAAATTTTACATGCTTATATGTCTACTCTATAAATGAATATGTTTTCATTCGAAATCATGTAATTTATAAATTTACCTCCTAAACATACAAGTCTTAAGCCATTTCATACGTACATATTTTTCATTTAATTTATTTAAATTCTTAATAATAACTTTTGTGATAAAGATATTTTTCACATGTATATTTATGGAGATTATCTTTTTCATGTGTGTGAAAGGTAAATTTCAAAAATTAAAGCATGCATTTGAAACGTAAGTGTACGAAATGTAACTATGAAAGAATTAAATGACACACATCTTAGAAAAGTAAATCAACAGTAGAAATCGAATCTAGGAAGAAAATCAATGGAGAACACCTACTTCGAATAGGAAACTGAATGAAAAACTTTAAACAAAAAATGTCTTAATTTTCTTGTTTACTCAAACTAAGAACTGAGTTAAATAATGATTTAAATGTCAAACTTCAAAATAAATTCAAAACTCATAACTTAAATAATGGAGACCACCACTAGGTAGATCATCTATGAACCCTAGGTTAGCCAACATAGAAAAAATCCTAGGATCACACATTCCCTATAATACTTCAGTGAAGAAGCCTATGTTAGATTATCAGGTACTTCTAGTTAATGTTAAGGACAAAAACCTATAAAACTACAACTTTTATCCTCTTAGGTTTTGTTAGATACCCTAGGATGAGGTAACACATGGTTACTAACAAAGGCAACTCAAACCACCTAATCGTAAAAATATTTATGCTCAACATTACTATGATATTAAGTAGAGACCTCTAAATATTCGGTTGGTTAATAGTCTAAGGATATTAATGGATTGTAGAAGGTGATAATTCATGGGCATCTTGACCCAAGGGATTATACCAAAAAATTAGGTTAATTCTCATATTTAGCATTCTTATAGATTGTACATTTATTTTAGGGTTAGGCTTTTACTTCCATGTAGAATTCCTTTTAACTAATTCTGTCATTTAGTTTAGGATTCACCATCTTAAATCTAGCCCATTATCAATTTAAACCTTCATCTCTTCATTCTAACCCTTCTTAGATCAAGTCAAACCATATTCAAACCAAATCAATCAACTCAAGTTAAACTGTAAAATTAATTAAGTTTAATCAAACTTTATTCAAAACCAATCAAGTCAAACCAAAAACTCACATTTCAAATCAAAACCTAACTTTTTTTAATAACTTTATAATCTAAATCCTTAGGCTACTCATTCTTCCCGAAGTTGGTTAACCCTTTCGTCGAGTCTTTCCATGAAACAATGCCACTGGACTAAAAGTTTCAACCTTTGAATTCCAGGAAAAAAATTTTCAAACCCTAAATCTGTCCAATTGATTTCTTAAAACATTAATCTTAAGACAAAAACCTTGTAATCCTGCATAATATAAGTTGATACTTTAATCAAAAGTATTATCGAGAGACATAACTTTTGGGATGTAATTAATTATGATGGCTTGCTCTTGTAGGAATACCATACCACTAAATAAAATAAACCTTATCTTACACCCACAAATTAGGGGAAAAGTTTTTGTTTAGATAGATCCATAACTTTCAAAGATTTTTCTCATTTAAATGATTATATCCATGTATTGTAATACTTCTATCTCGCGGGCAATATATTATTCTTCAAATTACATATCTAATCATTTAGGGTTTGTTTGGGATCATTTTCTGTTTTTATTTTTATTTTTATTTTTAGTCTGTTTTGTTTTCATTTTGTTTTTAAATTTTTTATTTTTAGAAAATGTGTTTGGTACTGTTATGATTTATATCTTTTTAAAACTAAAAAATATAAAACATGTTTGGTTGGGTATTTTATTTTAAAATAAATTATAGTTTTTATAAAATGGTAAGGTCTTTGTGTGCTCCTGTATTAAGTTCTGCTGCTCATGACTTATACAATGTTTTTCTTGCTTCACCTAGCACAAATCAGTACATATGGGTGCGCAGCAAACAACATACAACAACGGGCGTCGGGCGTCGAGCGGCGGCTATGGTTGGTGTGGCAGTGGGCGGGTGATGGCTGGCTAGGGCCGACAGCAGTGACGACTAGCGGTCGCCAGTTGGTGGCGGCAAATAGCGAGTTGCGGTGACGAGCAACGACTAGCTGGCGACGACTGTCAGACTAGGCGAAGGGTTATTTTGGTATTTTAAAAAATGGCAAAACATGTTTTTTTTCTATTTTTAGTATTTTAAAATCAGATATGTTCTTCTAAAAAATAAAAAAAATTGAAACAAATCAAAAAACAAATAAGCAAACATTGTTTTTATGTTTGTTTCCCATTTTTTGTCTAAAAAAACAAAAAATAAGAATTGATCTCGAATAGCCACTTAGAAAATCTTCAAGATTTGTGGTAAACACAACAACAAAATCCTTATATCAAACTTGGAGGATAATTTTCTTTTTCCACTGGTGGCAGAAAAAAAATTGCACTATTCCTAATATGGTGCGAAGCAGGATTAAAAATAAGAATATGACTAAGGAGATCTCTGTTGAGGTAATGACATGTTGTTTATATTCTCAGTCAGTGTCTCACTTCAAGTTTATATGATATGACGCCTCAAGAAGCTTGGACGGGGAGAAAACAAAATATCTCTCATTTGAAGTTGTTTGGGAGCATTGCATGCACATTTTCCTAAACAATTAAAAAATTAGGTTGGATGACAAAAGCTCCAAAATCATCTTAATTGGGTATTATTCTAAATCTTATAAATTACTTGATCCTAACAATTTAAAAATTATTTTCAACAAAGATGTTGACTTTGATGAAGGAGCATGGGAGATGACAAAATCAAGTCACTTAAAAATAAGAGGCAATGCCTGTAGAGTTACAAAATGAAGAGAAATCATCAATAAATTTGCAAGAATCTTCATCATATTCTCCAAACATAAGCATCTCATTAACTACCTCAAGTAACAATCAATGAAAAAAAGAAGATAAGAAGTTTTAGGGACATTTATGAAGAAACTGATGAGCTTAACTTAGTTTGCTTATTTGCAAATAATGAGGCATTTAATTTTGAAGAAGCCATAAAAGCTAAAAGATAGAGATGCGCAATTGATGAAGAAATCAAATTTCTATTAAAAAATAATACATGGGAGTTCTTAACACTTTCAAATGGACATACAACTACAACAACAACAACAATAAAGCCTTAATCCCACTACGTGAGAAAAATGGACATACAAATATTGGTGTGAAATTAAAAAAGATTGTAAGGAGAGAATTTGGAAAGTATAAAGCACATAGAAAAATGACATGCAAAAGGAATGCATCGACTATAATTAAGTTTTTGCTCTCTGTTATTCTCATGAAGACTATTCACTTTATTACTTCTCTTACTCACAAACTAATTGGTTTGTTTATCAAATTGATTTGAAATCTACTTTTTTAAATTAATTTATTGAAGAATAAGTATATTTTGAATAACCATTGGGATATATTAAAGAGGGCCATTAATGAGAAGTTAAATAGAAAGTTTGACATATTTAACGTGATCAAAACCAAACATTCTATATGAAGTTGAAATTATTAGTCATTATATTAAAAATCCCACTGAAATGCATTTACAGGCATCAAAACAGATTTTTCATTATATTAAAGGTACACTAACTCATGGACTTGTATATTCTTATTTTAATGAATTTTGACTGATATTCAAATAGGGATTTGGCTGTAGACCATAATGATAGAAAAAAATGTGTAATTTATAGATGACATTGTATTCACATAGTGTTCAAAAAATAATCAATTGTTGCCCTTTCCATGCGTGAAGTTGAATAAGTTGTAGCAACATCTTGTATGTGTTATGCAATATGACTAATGAAGCTGCTAAAAGAAATTGAATATTTTCAATATGAAGCTACAAAAATATATGTTGATAACAAGTCAACAATAATATTAACAAAAAATCATGTTCATTATAAAAGAAGCAAACATATCGATATTCATTTTCATTATATAAAAGACCAAATCAATGACCAAAAAGTTCAAGTGGAGTATGTGAGAACTTAAAATCATGTTGCACATATTCTCACTAAATCGTTATTTGTAGAACGATTCATAAAATCGAAGACATTTCTTAGGGTAGCAAAGGAAATTTTGTTTTAAGGGGAGAGTGTTTTAAATTAAACATAAATTATTAAATATTAAAAATATTAAAAAGAATAAATTTACAAAAGTGCTTTTAGTATTCCACATCCACTAGAATCTAGAAAAATTTTAGTATAGACTTCTCTAGATTATGTAAGTGTGTGAAAGATTTCTAGAATGAACTTTGTTTAACTATAAATATGTCTTTAGTTTTGTTTTGTTTTTTCGAGAATGAATGAAATGAAAAAAAAAAAAAATTTGTCTTCATTTATTGCCTACGCAAAATTTTCATTCGCCTTTTTATATTTCTTCATATATATTTGTTTTATCAGCGACCTAATATGACTGGGATATATTCTCCATGAATTTATTTTTAATGTTGCATTAGTTGATGTGGAATGATTAAACTACGTCAGAATCATGAAAAGCATTTATTGATGGCTACAATTGGCTTTTGCTTGAATTTGAGAGGTAGATAACCATCAAGTTGACCAAGGTTAATATCATTCAGTCTATCACATATTGGTATGTATAATTAGGAGCCGTAGTATTTTAGCTGCTAGGAAATTCGCAGAATCATGTAACTTGAAACTTTAGCTCTTTGAGGTGGATAAAAAACAGTAATATTATTATAAACTCTTTTTTGATGAATTGCTTGGGTCATTAATGAAGCTTAATTAATAAAATATCTTAGAAAATGTCAAGGTGTATTGATTTATTATAGAGCTGTTAAACCTGTCTTTCTTATTATTTTAAGGTTATGTGTTGCTTATAAGAACCCATATGCAATCTTGAGGCGATGTTGCAACATAAGTTTCCCCACTTATCACCTCATTTTATCTATATTGTTTGCGGTTGAAAGCGTCGAGCAACCATTGTCGCTAACCAACAATATTATCAAGAAGTTTTGGTGTTAGCTATGAACACATAGGAATTGAGTGGTATGTAGGTAAATTTTCCTATATCAAACACACTACACCTTAGACTTGATCACATAAAATTAATGGAAGATATGATAACATGGGAAGTAGTGCGCTCTCTTCCTTTTTTATTATTTTTTTTATTTTGTTCGTTCAAAAGGACTTTGGATAGGGTGATTTAATGATGTAGAAAATAGATCATGGTCATATACATGCTTGAATGTGACTTTGGTCAGGTTTTTCTTCAAATAAAAAGCAAAAGGATACTAGGTAAAAATGGCTGTCCTCATCAAGACATAATGTATATCTTAAAACCTATGAGGTCAACCACTAGCAAAAAAAAAAATGCAAAAAAAAAAAAAATACAATTAAGAAATACTAGAGTAATCCCAGAAGTATTTAAAAGCATCCTAAGAAGAAAATCAATCTCGTTCTAGCTAAAAACTTTTGAGTTGACATCAACCACAAAATACCACACTTCGTGCAAAAGGTCAATGGCATACAGTTAATCTCCCAGACTTAATCAAAATGGAGATATCATTTGTAAAATATCTACAAGAAAAAGCAAAATTACTTCCTTGCAAAACTAGATTAAAAACTAGGATAACATGATGAATGTCCTTGGGCTTACAATCTTAGCGTTCTTACAAAATAGCCTCAGAAAAGTAATGTTAGGATTATCTTAAAGCAATATAACCATATCAAAAAGTTATTGAATGAAGCCATATAAGAGCAAATAACTATAAATTTCTTGAGTACAATTTTTTGCACAAGCATTTCAATCCAACATTGAGTACAATTTAGCTCAAATATTAGCCAAATTTTCTGCACAAGCATTTCAATCCATATAGAGATTTTATAATTGAAGCTCTGTAAAGGCAGTTTGATCTCTCTTATAATATAAAATAAAACATTATTAAATAGTTCGCATAAAAATTTATTCATAATTAATTGATTCACAGATAGCAGAGAATTAACTTAATCCAAATACACTGTAGATTTAAAGGTTTGGTAACAATTAAGCTATATCTAATATATATCAGAAATATTTATGCGAAATGTAAACTTCATTATCTAGGTTGCTTTTGCCTTTAATTTTGATTCCTTCTTATTATAAGTTTGTGGCATCATATATTTCAATTAATGGCTTTTATAATTGTTTGTTTTCTTCAGAGCAGTATAGCTTTGGGTTCATGATATGGTGAAGAACTTTCGATAAGTCTTTCTATTTCTAAATTGTCATTATGGAAATCCAACTTAATGGATTAGTTCGATGTTATGGGGTGGGGATAAATAATTAATATTGTGAAAGAAAATTATTATCATAAGATTTAGTATAAGGATTTTCTATTTGTACTAAGAAAACCAAATAGATAAGGGGAACAACTAAAAAGTTGAGTTAAAGGATTATTCTATTACAATTATATTAATGATGCATAAAATAATTAGAAAAAATAATGGTGACTTGAATATATTAAGGATAAAAAATCAACATGTTTGATGGCTAAATAAATTGATAAGGGGGGAGAAACGACAGAATTAATGTATTATCGATAAAAAATTATTCAAAATTATTTATAAAGTATAAAACTAACATCATAAATAATTCAGCATAAATGGATGTAAAATAAAGTTAATAAAACCACCAAAAAAATTTGAACTATTTTGATATACTAGCTAATGATAATACTGATTCAGAAAACTGCATGAAATGTTTCCAACATTAAAGTTTGTTGAAATGATATTGTATTGGTAATAAAAAATCCTTTCGAACACTTATCAAAAGCTGTAGATAATGCGTCACTGCTTACTGGAAATTTGTGCTAGAAACCTTAGGACTTCAATGCTTTTTCCATTTTCGGAAACCTAAAATTTTCTCATACATTTTCAACACACATTTTCACAATTTCAAAAGCATTACCCATAGAAGTGTCATTCAAAAATATATCATTTTAATACCTAGAATTCAACTCAACAGTCATAGAATTCGAGGTAAATCTCAGCACATGGAATAGTAACCTTCTAATTACATCTACTCGTCAGTTTAAGGCGCATCACTACTACCTCCACCCTCTTTACTTGTCTCACCTCCTTGCATTTGCCCTGTCCCTTATAATATCTAGCTTGCTTCCTTCAAGACAATGGAGCTGGAAACTGAATAGTTAAAAATTGCATCGAATGCAGCTTCTGTGAGAGGGCAAGTAAATGCGCCTGTAGAAAAAAAAAAAAAAAGAAAAGCACACGAAATGCATTCAAAAGCATATTTAGGATATTTAACATATTGATGATCAAATCTATATTGAAATTAGCTTACAGTTTTATATTAAAGGTAAGCATAACTAACCAACTAAAATGCGAGAAAACATGTTCAAAACTAGAGTTTCTATTTACATAAAATCACTTTCAAAAATATTAACAGATTTTATATCTTAAACCAAATTAAAAAAAATGTAAAACAATTATGAAACTTAAATCATTGTTATAATTCATATTTAAACTATTACTGATTAAGCTAAATAAATTGTTCATTAATTTGTACAAATCTTGAAGATTAAATTTACTTGTAATACATAATCTTGAGGAGGTTGCAGTATTAGCGAAGCCGCTGGAAGATCATGGTCATATTTGTCTTTAAGAGAGATGAGGACAATTTGACGCAACAATGCTAATGTAGCTGTACAAGCCTTACTTACAATAACAAAATATCTGTAACTTTAATAACTTTGGCAGGAAGGATGGTCATTATAAAGGTACTTGGTGAGATTTTTGAGAGTACCAGTGAAATGATAAAGTCCAAGTGGGAAGAAAGAAAAGAAGAATTTCTAGGCTAGGTTATCCAGACAACAATTGGTCGGATATGCCATAAAAAGAATCCAATCAAACATGAATCTTGATGTAGGCTTTAATTGGAGATTTTTAGAATTAAATTCAGAATAACTTTTGGCTTCATCAAATTATAATCAAATTGAATGTCTTAACAAGTTAAACCTAAACATATTATAAGTTAAACCTAAATATATTAAAAGTGATCTGATTCGAGTCCAAATAAACTGAAATAAACCATTTTAAGTACATGGTTAATGGTTAGAAACTTCATCATTAAAATTTAAAGGTCAAAGAATCTTGGATTCTTCTGAGATTATAGTCAAATTGAGTATCTCCATAACGGAAATTCACACAACATGAGATCACCCGATTTGTCATTAAGGCACTTAAATTAATGCTGAAAGAATGGTTCAAAGAAATTAACTTAAGTTGTTCAATTGAGTTTTTAAAAAATTTTGATTTACCAAAATATTACTTTAAATTTTTAAGTATAGTCATTCTCTTCAAAAGAAGGAGAAAAAACTCGAGTTTGTGAAGAGCATAGAGATAGCTCTAGAGCTCTTCAAGGTATGCAACACTAACAATCATTGTTACATGATTACCACTATTTGACTGTCATCACCAAATTGACTTCATCCATCCATAATGAATTAATCATCATCATGTGACCATCGTCTTCTGACCACAATCATGTAACAAATGTATCTAACCAAAGTCACTCAAATGTTATTTTACAACTATTGTCAAACCACCATCATTGTCTCATCATAAATATCATCTAATCATCATAATTATTACTCAACCATCATTACTTGATCATTGTATAAAGACTTATTGTTTGATTGTCGTAGCAGGCTTTTTTAATCTTAACTTATAAAATAAATCACTTTATTCAGGCCATGCCAATTACTTTTTCTGTTTTAGATTTTTCATGTAAAAATTATAATATTTTTTGTGTTATCTTTTATCTGTTTATGTGCCAAGTTTTCATGCAAATTTAAGATGTAAAATTTTCACTTTACTATTGAAAAATATTTAGAATACATTAATGTCCTAATTAAAAACATATTCGCAAAATGGTACAATTTAAAATAATGCAAACATGTTTGATAATATTTATGATAGATTTGTTATTAAGAAAATAACTATTATCATAAAAATGATATGTATTTGTTAGCAGTTAGGGTCAATTTGCAATAAAAAAAAAAATTAGTTACCATTTTCTTTTTTGACCACTTTTGATAAATTAGCTCAACATAAAAAGGTAGTTTCCCATAGCAACCACCCAATTTTTTTAGCAAATTAATAATACCAGAATATCCTCAGTAAGAATCTTTTTCCAACAATTAAACAAGTATTTTTTAGCATCATTTTCCCAATGAGCATAACTAAATGTCAATATAAATAAGCTAGTCTCCTTGCAGTACTCCACCTTGACTACATGTTGTGTGCATGAAAATCGCCAAATGCTTACATAAGTGTTGCTGTCATACTAAAATTTTCTTTTAAAAAAAATGTTAAATTACCTTCACACAATGTTTTCAATTCACCCATTAGAAGTCATAAGTAAACATGTACATTACTAGTTAGATTTTTTACATTGACAATGATCATAATACTATAAAAAATCTTTATGTACATCTTATAAGAGAGAATGTTTGGTGTAATTATGCCCTAGCCAATTATCAGATAATCTTGCAAGAAATATTTTTTGTTAATCAGGCCTAGAGTTTTTGCTACTGGTTCTTAACACATTTTTGGTATTTTTTAAATGTTATAAATTATACCTAGAAACATTAAAGGATAGTAGTCTATCTTTGTATATTATAAAGGTAAGATTTTTCACCGCAATTTTGTAATGTTAATGCTTTTGATAACTTAATGCAATATAAATAAGCTAGTTTCTCTATGTTACTTCACTCAAATTCCATATTAAGTTTTATAAGAAAACCAATTGTTAACATTAGTTTTTTGTCAATCTAAAAATTGCATCATATGCAAGCATCCTTTAATAATAATTCAAATTTATCTATAGAATACTATAGCTTGGCATTAATTATACATTTTGGATTGAATGGATTGGGATTATCATGAAAAATGTATGAATTTATCATGCCATCTCATAAGAGATTGTATGGCATAATTATGCCTTTCAACATGAGTGCAATAAGGTAAATTTTCTTCATGGAATAAAATCGTAAGCATAGTATCCAATCTAAATTTCTTTGATCCGAATAAAAACTCTTGATTTGTACAATTAAAGCGTTTTAACGAACTTGACAAAAATATTTTTTGAAGGCCCAAAATAAGTATAAATTTTTTTCTAACAAAGCTTCTTGTAGAAATAACTACAAATAGTGGTAACACCTTTTCAGTCCAAAAATATTTTCTCCTTCAATGACAAATCATTAGGGTGTGAAATAGAGGCGTGTCATTAATGGATCTTTTGTCAAATAGGTTGATAAGAGGTTAACATATGGGCTGAATCACAAAAAACCTAAACGAAAATGATTAATTCATCTAGGTAAAATGAAGTCTTAAGGGGATATTGTTTAGTTGATATATTTATTTTGGAAACTTTTAATTTTCTTTTGGTAATAAGTGATAATTTCCAAAGGGAAATCTATTGAAAAAATACATAAGATAATTTATGGTAAATATTTGCATATTTTGTTAATAATTGGCTTTTTTTTTTCTTATAGTTTAATACACTATGTATGCAGAGGAATGGAGTACACGTAGCAGAGTGGAATGCATGTTTAATTAACTTTGCTTTATTATTGCATTTTAGCCAAAAATAAAACACTTATGTTTGGCACCTTAAAAGATTGATATCAATTTACCTAAGTGAGTTTATCATTATATGCCACATGTTTAATATTTTGATAAAATGTTCATTATTACACACATTTTTCTTAATGTATATGATTAAAATAATTTTTTTCCTCGTGCTTTCTTACTTCCAGCTATTCCTTTTATAATAGTAACTCTTATTTGGTAGATAAAATTGACGGTGACTAAAAATGACTATTTAGCTACACTTTTATAGATTCTTATGCCAAAATTATAATCAAACAATACCTTCAATTCTTAAAAAAAAAGGGGAAAAAAATAGAGGCTATAATTAGGACTAATATTTTAATGGAACTGTCAACTATATATATATATATATATATATATAGCTAACAACTGATTGCATTTATTTCTCCCTCCTAGTTTATCAACTCCCTAAAATTACGTCATTATTTATTACAACCACTTGCACTAAGAGGAAGTGATCTTTGATGGATAGATAGTAAATTTCCAGATAATTGTATATTCCCCAAACTATACTTCGGATTATTAACAAGCTTACATATTTATAATGAAATTCATGTCATGAATGTTCGAACTTTTAGAGAGTATTGACATGTAAAATTTGCATGGAAGGAACAACATGCCTTTCCAACTCATGGAAAAAATTATATATCAAAATATCTATAATATGCTGCCATGCATGCTACTGCTTTATTTAATTTTTGTATTAAATTAATTATATTTGAAAAGTAGCTTTGCTTGATGGTTATTTTATTTTTATTTTTTCACTTTTAGTCTTAAATCCTACCCTTTCTTTTTTTATACCTCAATTTTTAACCATGAGGTCATGGTTTGTACTTTTTTTCATTATGTACGAATATATGAGATGTGTATTACTAATTGGCTTTTGTATTATGAGAACTTTTTAGCATCTCGTGTTAAAATCTTCTTTCTGTTGTTTGTCTTGCATTAATGAAATAATTACATGAATCTAACACTAATTAATTTTTTTTGTCTAGAAAATCAATTACTGACATGAATTGATGCATACAAATTTTCTTGTTTAGTAAGTTGCTTAAGATTTTCATGAAAGCGTAATTTTTAATCTTTCATTTTTTAATAACTCTAAGCATCGTTACCTTGACCTTGAATTGGCTACTTTTGGCGAAAAAGTATCAATTAGGTACCCTCTACAATGCCCTTTTATTCCATCAGAGATATATTAGAATTAAATCTAGCACACCAAATGTGATGGATTCAACCGACAGCGAATATTCATCACAACATTTCTTGGTATTATGAACATTTATTATAGATTCTTACCACATGGATTCTCCAAAATATACTTCATATTATTAGCAAGCTTGCACATTTATAATGAAATTCAAGTCATGCATGCTAGAACTTTTAGTGGAAATTGGCATAAAAAAAATTGCAAGAATGGAACAACATGCTCTTCCAACTTTCGAAACAAATTACATGCTAAAACATCTCTGATATGCTTCCATGTATGCTTCTTTTAAGGTTATTCTATAATAACTTTATTTTGAATTTTGGCTTAGCTTGATGGTATTTTTCTTTTTGGCATT